CTCAAGTGATTCTCATGCCTCAGACTCCTGAGTAGCTGGGATTACAGGCAGCACCATCATGCCGGGCTAATTTTTGTATTTTTAGTAGAGACAGGGTTTCACCATGTTGGCCAGTCTGGTCTCGAACTTGTGACCTCAGGGGATTAGCCCACCTCGGCCTCCCAAAGTGCTGGGATTACAAGCGTAAGCTGTCTACAGTTAAGGAACTTTTAAAATTCATTTGTACTGCAGTAACATATCTTCATTATCCAAGCATTTAATTTGGAAAACCTAAGTGTGAGTATTCTGAACATTTAAAAGTTTTTGTTTACCTTTTATGTTTTTGACTAGATTCAAGCAAATATTGATTTTATTTCTTATAGTCCTGAAGTAATACATTTTGTCTATAAGTTTTCTTTAATGTGACTATTAAGATTAGAGTTCTGCCACTGTGTTCATGTTATAAATTTAGCCTCGGTGACTTTCTGGGCCACGAGAATCAGCAGTGACCTGAATCAGGTAGGCAGTGTATTGTTAGCTGGCTGCTTGGGTCAAGTCAGCAGCCACAACTACCCTGCCACTTGCTTCTGGATAAATTCTTCTTGTCAATGAAGTGCTCTGGCTACCTGTGTGTGATGAGCTGGCAGTGTATTGTTAGCTGGTTGAATATGTGAATGGCATCAGCTAACATGCAACTGCTGTCTTATTGCATATACAATGAAAATCAGAGTGTAACTGAATCTGTAATTAGTGTGTGTTTACGTGTACTTTCTGCTATGAAGCAAGGCACTATTTACCATAATATATTATTGCCATTAACTTACAATACAGTAATACTTATAATACAATGGACAGCTTTATAATGGTAAGGAAAGTACTACAATTACTTAAATTTTTTCCTTTTAAGAAAAATTTACTTATGCCTACTTTTCCATAACTAAAAGTTTTAAAGAAATATTTTTGGAGTCTTTGGAGTCTTTCGGAGTAGACAGTGTTTAAGTATTTGTGAAATTATATACTTTTACATGTAAGGTTTAGAATGTGATAACAATGTGGAATGGACCTACAATGTGTCCCCAGATTTTCAGTGAAGTCTTTGGGATTCTTTCTGCATCATTAGTTTCTGAATACAGCATTAGAATCGGTTTCCAAAACCGTGACTGTGTGTACCAGCTGGAGGGAAAGTTGAGGTAATTTTCTGGATGAGTCAGTCAACTAAAACATTTTTCACTTGAAATATCAAGAATATTGGGGATTTTTTTTGGATGGGGAATGGTTTAATTTTTTTTGGAAGATTTACCTCAATCCTTTCACTTCATTTTCTGTAAAAACACAGGTTCATGAAATATTTGGAAGGGAGCACGAGATGTAACTTGTGAAGTGGGAAGAACTGACCATACATTATGACTTTAAATATTTTCTCATTCCCTGAGAGGCATTTTGGCCCATGAAGCAGTATAGATATGTGCTGGCTTCCAGACATGCAGTATTCTTGTGTGGACATTTGTAGCCACTTAGTGGAACTGACTTTGGTGGTGCCATCAGTTAGTTAAGCCATAGATGAGATATAAGAAATATTTCACATTCTCTACTGTACTGGATTGTAAGTTATTGGTAAAATGATTTTTATGCTTTCCTTATTTAAATATAAACATATTTCTAGAACATGGGTTAAATAGATATCTATAGTTTGATTCTTATGCATTTTACTACTTTCAAATCACATCCTCTTTTTGTTGTTGCCCAGTGTTATTCACTTTCAGGAGATTTATGTTTATCTTCCATGTAAAAATTGTTTTCATCTTGTCTCTTTTTAAGGTTAAATTTCAACATGTTATTTTCTATACTGAGTCACTGACCTGGTGAAAAAAATAAAACCTACTAAATTTAGAAGTCTTGGCTTTTGTGTTTTAGTTTTTTAAAATTAAACAGCAAGACATAAAATGCCAACTTTATTTTATTTTAGATCAAGGGGTACATGTGCAGGTTTGTTACGTGAATATATTGGGTGATGCTGGGGTTTGGGCTTCTAGTGAACCTTCTCCCAAATAATGAACATTGTACCCAATAGGTAGTTTTTCGGTCCTTGTGTTCCTTTCTTCCTACCCCTTCTGGAGTCCCCAGTGTCTACTGTTTCCATCTTCATGTCCATGTGTACCCATTGTTTAGCTCCCACTTAGAAGTGAGAATATGCCATAATTGATTTTCTGTTTCTGAAAATGACAACTTAAATTAAAAAAAAAATTTTCTTTTTTAGAACTGTTGATTCTGTAGGGAAACCAACTTTATGTTCAATAAACAGAAGACATTTAAAGTTGTGGTTTAGTCTCATATTATTGAGATGATGAGAAAAGAGGGAAGGAATGGAATGAAATAAAAATATGTTAAAGAAATAAAAAATACGTTAAAGAGATGAATGGGTTAGGAGGCAAGTGAAAATACAAATTAAAAGAGAAAATGTTTCCATAGGTGGGAGAGGGAAAGAAAGGGATATACACTGGGATATCAAGGGTCAAACAGAGGGAAAAGGGATTGGAAAAAGAGGAGGGAGGCTCTGCTGATGGCAAAGTATTTTCTCCCAGGTGTTTTCTCTTGGGGCAGTCTCTTGGCTGTTCACTGGTACTGGGAATGTCACTACCTCCCATCGCTGCCCTCTGAACCTCTCACTATTATAGTGATAGCCTCCTTCTTTCTCTCTCTCTGCTGCATTTTATTTCCCTGCAAAGACACTATGCTTATCTGCAAGAGACATACTTAACAGTTCAGCTGGAGGAGGAGAAGGGAAGAGTGGGAAGGAGTGTGATGGATTAGTTTCTAGGCATAACAATTATTAGAATTTTATTCTATGGGAAAGATAAAATCAAGCAGAGGCCTAAATGTAGACAGAATGTCCTCATATCAGCTCCACCCAAACATGTCATTTTTCTTTCAAAGGAACACCACAAATCAACGTGGTGCAATCATGGCTCACTGCAGCCTCTACCTCCTGGGCTTAAGCAATCCTCTCACCTCAGCCTCCTGAGGAGATGGAACCACAGGTATGTGCTACCACACCTGGCTAATTAAAATTTTTTTTTTTTTTTGCAGAGACAGGGTCGCTCTGTTGCCCAGGCTGGAGTTTAGTGGAGCCATCTCGGCTCACTGCAGCCTTGATCTCTTTGGGCTCAAGCAATCCTTCCACCTCAGCCTCCTATGTAGCTGGGACCTGAGGCATGTGCCACCACACCCAGCTAATTTTTTGATTTTTTTGTGGAGACGGGGTTTTGCCATGTTGCCCCAGGCTTGTCTCTAACTCCTGGGCTCGAGTGATCCTCCCTCCTCAGCTGCTTAAAGTGCTGATATTACAGGCCTGAGCCATCATGCCCATCCCCAATTGTCATATTTTTAGAAATTTTGCATCCTAGTTACTAAACCATTGGTAGATTGAAATTGGCCATGAGGGAGCATGAGCATTTACACTGAACTGGCAAATGCTGTATGTCAGGATTCCTCCTCCAGAGTCTGCTATTAAACATGTACCAGCCACCATTATATATATGCTACATACACTGCAGTTATTAAGAATTATATATATGTACATGTATACATACTATTGATACAGTGTAATTGTTAAACATTTAAAAAAATGAAATACAACTTTCAGGGCACATTTCAGGCAAATTCATATTTATTCCAATCTCTAACACTCTGTTGTTACGTCTGCTGTAAGATGATCAGGAGTTGGTATGAAGTATTCTTCTCTACGCACCAAAGAAAACAAACAAAGCAAACTTTAAGTCAGTGAATTAGTTACCACAGTTAAAATGCATTTGATTTTGTCCTTTTCCTTTTTCACAAAGACGACAGCTGAATACTCTTTTATGTGATGCATGATATTTTTCTTTTTCTCTTTTTTTTTTTTTTTTTGAGACAGAGTCTTTGAGATGGGGTCTTGCTCTGTCGCTCAGGTTGGAGTGCAGTGGTGTGATCTTGGCTCATTGCAACCTCAGCCTCCTGCTTTCAAGTGATTCTTCTGCCTCAGCCTCCCAAGTAGCTGGGATTACAGGCACATGCCACCATGCCCGGCTAATTTTTGTATCTTTTACAAAAAATACAAATACAAAGATGGTCACCATGTTAGCCAGGATGGTCTCGAACTCCTGACCTCAAGTGATCTGCCCGCCTCGGCCTCCCTAAGTGCTGGGATTACAGGCGTGAGTCACTGCGCCTGGCTCTGATGTTGATATTTTTCTGTTACAGTCCTTAGCCCAGGCATCCTGTAGCACTCCATGTCCCAGACTTTTTGATGCAGAAACAAGACTGAAGGAAGATTGTCCAATATAGGAAAGATTCAACTTTTCCTCTGTGTGTTTGTCCACTGGTATTCCTATGAGGCGTTTGAGTTACAGGTAGCAGCACCTTAGCAAATGACTCCAATCCCTCTCTCAGCACACATAACCTAATTGTTATGGAACCCCGAAGGGACACCTGAATGTCCTTTCTTTCAAGGCAATACGTATGACATGCTTTCAAATCTCCGCCTGCCTACTCTGCTTACCTAAAGGGCAAGGGGAGAAAATCCAGCACTGACATAGAATCTGTAGGTTGAATAAGGCAACCAAGATTAGAGATGTAAGTGAAGAAACCCACTTTATCTGGCTTTGGAGAGAACTAGTGACTTATGGCAGGACGTTCATCTGTATCATGTTGACTGGGACAGTCCTGGTTGTTCCCAGTGCAGCTCCATTATCATCCATCCATCTGGCAGTGGGGAGTCTCTGCTGCCCATGTGGTGCTGGCATACGCAGTTCTGCTCAGGCCCCTAACGTGAACGCATAAAACACCCCTGCAGTGCCACAGCACTGCTATGAGCTCATGGAAGGCATATGTGGGGATACAAGGCAAGAGTTCTCTGGCAGCAACACTTGGAGGGGCCGCCTGAACAAAAGTTTTCTTAGAGGCTCATAATTCAAATTGCTAATAGGCTCTTGGGGCAAAATTGCAAAGGACAGATAGACTTGTTGGGTGGCTTCTGTTTTTGTTCCAGCAATCCAGGTTAATTCTGATTTCCTTCCTGGTCACTTAAAACACCTTGCTAAGTGTGTTAATTGACTTTTAAAGTTGCAAAGGGCTTTTTTATTCCATTCAACCCCTGTTCAATTTACAGGTGAGGAAACTGAAATAAGGTACTTAAGTGACTTGCCTAAAGTCACACAGCTGGCGAGCGGTAGGAGCAGGCTTGCTGACACACTCATCTGGCATTCGTGAGGCTATCCCTACAAATCCTCTTGACTTCTGGTAGAAACTCCACCTCCACCTCCACCAAATATCTTTCTAAATACCTTCATAGCTGGGTGGCTGGATATGTACTTTGAAGCAGAAGATGCTTCATGAAGTATTTTTGGTTTATCTAAGAACTTTGGTCCAAATACATATACAGAACTATTTACTGAGGTAGCATTACTGAATTCGCCATAAGAAACATCTTCACTTTCATCCATTAGGTCAGGATTTGGGAGTCAAGTCACAGACTACTTAAATCGGGTCTTTTTCTTCTTAGAAAATTTTATGTGACTATTTTTACATTTTTGGCCATCTTCCTATTTATTTTATGCAGTGAATGTGTATTTCATGAGGCAATAATCAACCTTCACCAACTTGGCAGTTTCCTTTGTTAGCCAATTATAAGGCTAACAAAATATAAAGGCCATGATTTTGGGAGAAGAAGTGCCTTGTGACTCTACTAAGAGGTTCAGTGACTGCTGATCTACACTTTAGGACTTATATGATCACCCCATTTTTACACTAGAGTTTAGGCTGTTTGGAGTTGGTTTTTACTATTTCAGCCATCAGAATGATGCAGCATTGAATTCCTTCCAAGTGGCTAATCTAGAATGAATACATTAGCAACCCAAATCAACCTATAAGGAATCAAGCTAAATGATCTTATACTCATGTCCTTTTTTCTACACTTGGGATTTTCACGCAAGAATAAAGACTGACTTATTTGGTAATATTATGATTACAGAATTTGAGTTGCTTCTAAAAAATAATGCAGAGAGAAATACTGAAAATGAAGACTTTTTCAAATGTTATAATATGGCCATTTATAAATGACTATTTTATATGTCAGTTGCATACATAGTGACAGTTATAGTAAAACACTAGGAACCTACACTTAAACAGAAAAAACAAAATCCTGTACATAAAACAAGCACACATATATAAGGATTTGAATCTATGTATATATATTTTATACTTTTCAACATTTGTGTTTTATTACGTTAACATAACCATTTACAGTTATTCCAGAAATTTCAATCATACACAGTGCTCTTGAATCCAAAGAATGGTCTAGTGTGTTAGCATTTTCATCAAGTACAGTCCTAGAAAATGTCAAGTTGAACAATAAGATATTGAGGCACATTGGTCACTGAATTCTGAATTCTTTAGCACAGTCAGAGGAAGTAGTTAATATATTTCATGTTGATTCTTTGGCTACTCTTGATTTTGCTTTGGGTAACATCTTCATCCTGGGAACATTCATTACCACTTAATAGCAAGATAACATTAAAAAAAAATCCTTCTTTGCCACATTTAATAGCGTTTAAAGAGGCAGAGGTTGCAATGAGCTGAGGTTGCACCACTGCACTCCAGCCTGGGTGACAGAGTGAGACATTGTCTCCAAAAAAAAGTGTTTAAAATGAGACCAAACCCTCATGGAGACATTTCTCTGTTCTATTAGAAATGCAATGGCATTCTCATAGATCCTCTTTCTTTTTTATGATCAGTTGTCTAACCAGAGCTGCTATGTCAGGCCTGATGACTTCAATGGGCTCCTCTGGCCTCCAGAACTTCACAACTTGACCCTCAGGGTTGACAAGATACTTCCAAAAATTCCACCTTGGTTCCTTCTTTGAAGAATCTAAAATATCCAGAACATATTTTCATGAGCATAATTTTATTCTTTGTCAAGATTTTCACTTCTGTTAGTATCTGCAAAAATGACAACTTTAGTATCAAGTTCTAGGATTGTCATAATATCAAAAACAAAACACCCAAATAAAGTGAAACTCAGGGTTAGAGTAACCAGATTTCAATATACTTGATGACTTCACCTATGAGTCTACTCATCTAGGATGTGATCTTAGTATCATGAAATAAAGCAAAGTAGGCCGGGAGTGGTAGCTTATGCCTGTAATCCCAGCACTTTGGGAGGCTGAGGTGGGTGGATCACCTAAGGTCAGGAGTTTGAGACCAGCCTGCCCAACATGGTGAAATCCTGTCTCTACTAAAAATACAAAAAATTAGCTGGGTGTGTTGGCATGTGCCTGTAATCCCCGCTACTCGGGAGGCTGAGACAGTAGGATCACTTGAACCCAGGAGGCAGAGGTTGCAGTGAGCTGAGATCACGCCATTGTCCTCCAGCCTGGGGGACAAGAGCGAAACTCTGTGTCAAGTAAAATAAAAGCCAAAAAAAAAAAAAAAAAAAAATTAAAGTTGTAATCCCAAATTGCTGGGATTACAGGTGTGTGCCACCACACTAGGTGAATTTTTGTATTTTGAGTGGAGACGGGGTTTTGGCCTCCCAAAGTGAATAATCACCTTATTTTGAAAAGCAATAACTTTTTTTTTGGCAGGGTCTCGCTGTATTGCCCGGGCTGCCCTTGAACTCCTGGGCACTCAAGTGATCCTCCTGTCTTGGCTTCCCAAAGTGCTGGGATTACAGGCATGAGCTACCATGCCCAGCCATGATATCCTTTTGATAAACCTTAATTTATGTAAGAAATGTAGATGTTTTTTCTATTTATACCACTCAAGATTTATGTTCATTTTATTGACTAACGTGAGAAAAAATATAATAATTATAACTAAAATTTATGAAGTGCTTACTATGTGCCTAGTAATGGATGCTGCGTGCTTCAAACTGATCCTCTCATTTAATCTTACAGGGACCCTATGAGGTGGGTATTATTATCATCCCCGTTTTGCAGATGAGATAAATGGAGGCCTAGACACAAGGTCACGTGGCTAGTGAGTGGTCGAGCCAGGATTGCTATACAGGCCTTTTTACTCCAGAGCTCATGCTCTTAACCTTTGGGCCCTATGATCCTATCTAAGTGGAATGAAACCTTAAATCACTGTTACCTTTTTGATTACACAGGCTAAGAGGGGTTTCAGAAGGTTTGTAGTGATAAAGAGAAATAACCTATGAGCTATTGCACCCACGTATCTGGCTGCTATAACTGAAGAATGATTAGTTCAATGGCATGTGCTTGGGCTTTTCTTTCCTCAGTGCACCCTCAAAATAAAAGGAATAAAGACCTTGCTGTGGTTGCCATTTATGGCGTTAGGCATTATATCAACTTTCCCTAGAAATTAAATATAATGTTTCTAGATGATTGTGACTTCACATTTATGTGAAATATTATAGATCACGATTTGGTTTGTTGGATTAGAAGCTTGATTGCCTGAGTGAGGTCATAGTTTTATCAAAACCCAACTTATCTACAGTGAAAATAGGACTGAAGATGTCATCAGAATAAGTTAGATGAGAGAATGTTAGCTAATGTCCTTTATTGATTGATTGATTGATTGATTGATTGATTTAAGATGGAGGCTTGCTCTGTCGCCCAGGCTGGAGTGCAGTGTCGCGATTTCAGCTCATTGCAAACTCTGCCTCTGGGTTCAAGCGAATCTCCTGCCTTAGCCTCCCGAATAGCTGGGATTACAAGTGCCCACCACCACGCCTGGCTAATTTTTGTATTATTAGTAGAGACAGGGTTTCACTACATTGGCCAGACTAGTCTCTAACTCCTGACCTCAAGTGATCTGCCTGCCTTGGCCTCCCAAAGTGCTGTGATTACAGGCGTGAGCCACCACGTCCGGCCTTTTTTTTTTTTTGACTAATGTCATTTAGAACAGTGTCTGGCACAGAGCAAGCGGTGTATAAGTACTTTATTTTTACTATTAACACACTTAATTCCAAACAATCTTAAGAAGTCGGTACTATTGATAGCCCATTTAACAAATGAGAAACAGGCACAGAGAAGTTAAGAAGCCACACAGCAAAAACAAGAGAGCAGGGATTTGAACTCAGGTAGCCTGAGGCCAAAGCCTATATGCTGTCACTACGCCTTATGACCTTTGTGCTAAGTGACCTTGGCAAGTCTTTAAACAGATTTCTGTAGCTAGCTTAATTGGAGAGATAGCCTAACACTACTGCCCTCTAAAGAAAATCAAGTTATATGTTTTTGGATTTTAGCAAAAATCTGGTAAGCTGACATATTCATCCTTGAGAATATTGTTTCAGATAAGAAAGGCAACATAAAATTAGCCACAAACGTATGTTAACTAATATTGCCCAGCACTATTCATGAGAGCTGGGTGACTTTAATGATGGGAAGGGACATTTCCCCAGATGCTAGTTACACGAGAGGAGAATTAAGATATTTTGTGAAAATGGCCATGGGCACACTTTAAATAAATTCTTCAGGAAGATGGTCGTAAGGAATAAAATACATTGGAATAGAATTATTTTACCATCTAAGACGCTAAAACATTGGTTTCAGGGGAGCATAACTCCTAGAAGTTACAAAGGATGAGATTCTGGCTCTTTGATAGTTTTATGAAGCTTTCCTGATCCAAAGTTTCAAATGAGATAGGAAAGTATTGTCCTGGTATAATTGTTTAAAAATGAAAAGCAATTTAAAACATTATACTGGTGAGGCAAGGCAGATATTTACCAACAAGAAATCTAAATGCAGGTTCTCCTTCTGATCCTAGAATCTTAATCTTGTGGAAGATGGGGAATGTTACTCCGTAGTTTTTTCTTGCAAAAGATTCTACCTCCTTGCTCGGGCGGGGCTCCGATTCTCCAAACTGATTGCAGGGAAAAGCCAACACGCTGAAGTGGGATGGTCCAAACTCTTTGTGCAGTTCCTTCAGTGCTAAGTAATTTCTGTCTGTGAGTTGGCAGTCACTAGCCACGTTTACAACTAGTGAAACCTCCCGGAAAAAGAAAAAAATCCAACCGGAAAGTGAAGCAAAAGATTTTAAAAAATTCTGCAAGTAGTTAAAATCCTAAACAATTTGGGGGGACTATAACCTCTGATTGATGTTTTTTTCATATTTTTGGACACACAACGTTCTATTGAAAACTGTAACCTAGATGCCTGGGTTAAGGCCCTGAAATAGTACTGCCATTAAACAAGCATTAGGTACTCATGAAAGTTTATTTTTAAATTAAAGATAAAACTATGATCCTTGATAAGTGCTTTTTAAAGTTATTAGATTATAGAACCAATACTTTTATTAATAAATGTCATCATGTTCACATTACTAACTATAAGTATTTTCCAAACAACTTTACATATCAATTCAGCACAAAATTAAAGCATTTTAAAGAAAATGAGATAATCGGAATTTATTATTTAGAAGCAAACTATCAGAACTCTAATAATGAAAGTGATGTACTAATACAATTACTCTGAAGACTAAATTCCAACTTATGACCATGTAACAGCAAAAAATGATCTTATTAAGAGGAATAAACAGAGACAAGGAGAAACGGTAACAATAAAAATCAGATGATGCAACTTACTTTGCCTTTATACTTTTCCAGAGAAACAGTTCTTCCTTTTGCATCCTTCACTTCAAAGGCATAAAAGCTGTTGATTTTAGGTTTGAGGAATTTTAGTTGTAGAAGAAATAGCGTTACTGTGCATAGAACCATAGACAGCAAAACTGCAAATACCTTTGCTCTGGGCCCGGAACATTTTAGCGGGTAAGCTGCAAGAGGCTCCATGTTGGAGGATTCTAGAGGGAAGTCTCAGCAGCCTGGAATTCAAGGAGGAGCTGAAACTTGAAACCGGCTTAGTTTAACGGAAAACCAGGAAGGACAGACTGCCTGCCTTCACTGCTAAGGAACAGAAAAACTCCTTCTCAGAGGGGGAATGAAGCGAAACTCCTGAATGAAGCAAGGAGCTCTGCAGAATTTCAAAGTATTTGTGATGTAATTATAATTTTTGCTAGAAAAATCAGTACATTTTTGGTAGGTCTTTGACATTCTCCCTACAAAGAAAATATTTCGCCAGCAGATGGTGCTCTTGTAACTTGAAAGCTATGGAGGGCTCATCCCCATGCTAAGCGTCCTGTGTATTTATTTAACAACTGTTTGGATGCAGAGGATACAGTACAATGCTCAGCAATAGTTTAGAATGTAGATTAAATGACCATATACTCATATGATGCATAGCCTGAAGGACGTTACTATTACATGTATGGATTAAATATGCTATATGAGTTCAGGAAATTTGTAGTGGAAAGAGCAGTGAAATATCTGAAAAGGCTATTTACCCTGTCTCATCTAGCTAAGGCAATCAAATACCAGGTGAATACAGTCAAAATAAATATGTTAAAAACAGTGAAGGTGTTAAAAAAGCCCTTCTTTATCATAAAGCAAACTATAGTCCAGTGTTTTTCAAATTTCTGATCATGACCCCCAGTCAGTAGTGCACTTTACAACGTAACTGGGTACAAACATACACAACTGAGAAACAACACTTCTTCTTTGAACTGTGATGCACCCCCACCTGTTGCATTTTTAAACAACCCAGTTCTGACCTATCAAAATGATTTCATCATTCACCAATGCACTGCAACCTATAGATAGAAAAAACTGAGGCCGGGCATGGTGGCTTGTGCCTGTAATCTCAGCATTTTGGGAGGCCTAGATGGGAGGATCACTTGAGCCCAGGAGTTCAAGACCAACTTGGGCAAGAAAGCGAGACCACTGTCTCTAAAATTTTTTTTTTTTTTTAAATTAGCTGGTTGTGGTGGGGCATGCCTGTGGTCCCAGTTATACAGGTGGCTAAGGTGGGAGGATCGCTTGATCCCAGGGGGCTGAGGCTGCAGTGAGTCATGTTTGTAGCACTGCATTGCAGCCCGGGTGACAGAGTGATACTGTCTTAAGATCAAAACAAAAGAAGAAGAGGGAAAAAAGAAAAAATTGGACTCCATAATAAAGTAGTAATTTAGCAGTTAAGTAAGGCAATTCTACCAAGAAAACCCTGAAAACAAACAAATCCTGCAAAACCCATCTCTACTTGGGTACATCAGCTAATTGCTTCATTTTTTTTCCCTTTATTTCCCCCCACTGGCTGTTGCCTGGCACAGGCAGCCTAACTTTGCTGTTGCTAATGGTCATGAATTTTAGGGTTGGGTATGGGGAGGCAATTGAAGGCTACATATCTTAAAAGCCATTCACTTTCAGTTCTGCTCTGTTTAAGACTCACAGCAAGATCTGGATGAAGGGGCATTATTCCATTTGATCACGATGTGTTTCCAGAAAGTGCAGGGAATGAGCTGAGACGCTTGTGGAGTGCCCTTCCTATCACTGTTAGCTTGCGGATCTTCAGAGAGGGTGCTCAGGGCGCTGCCTGCTCTTCAGGTGCCCGCTCTGTGGCATGTGTGTTTTTGGGTGGCTGAGCAAAACCCATAGCCTACTGTGTAAAACCTGTGAGAGAAACCACTCTACTCCTACTCTCATGGCCCAGTAAGAATGGATACAGTAGAAAAGGAAATGACTATGCAGAAAGTATTCCCTTTTAAACATAATTCCTAGTAAAGAACAAAATTGTATCACTTCCTGATAATTTTACTTTGGTGTTCTCTGGCTGAATTGTTTAAAAAGTCAAAGTCCCTGTGTTTGTATGACATGAACACTGCCATGTTACTTAAGCTCTCTGGCCTTGCTCTCTAAATGGGATCTGGGACCTTCCACAGTACCATCACCTGGGCATTTGGTAGAAACACAGCATCTTGGGCTCCACCCCAGACTTCCCGAGTCAGAATCTACTTTTACAAGATCTCCTCATGACACATACACACGTTTAAGTCTGAGAACCTTTAGACCTCAGCCTTTTTTTGGTTTCAGAGCAACAAGAGTCTTTGATTTCTCTGTTTTCCATAGTGGATGTGTTTCATGTCTCTATGAATACACGAGATATTTTAACTCCTCAGGCTGTACAAGCAAATGGCTCAGGAGCATGCATTTTAAAATTAATTCGTAGAATACCTGCTATAATTTGAGCCATGTAAACCCAACTCATTATAACTGTGTTTTGAGGTGGAAAGAGAGTGATTTATCTCTGGCAGGGATGTTGACTGACCACTGCTTCAGCAGGGCCCCACAGGGTGATATTATTTTGATAAAATCACTGTGATAATTTCCAGTTCATTGTTTTATAAGTACAGAAACTCTTATCAAGTGATCCAGAGATGAATGGATTTGAAAAGGCCAAAATTATGCTGTTACAAACTTGCATGTGATTGCTGAATAAGCCAGTTTTTACAACCAGAAATAAAACATTATGCAGGCCTGATGTTGAGGTTGGTTTGACCACAAAATTCCATATTATATGAATACAACTTTGAAAACTTAAGTGTATGTCTCCTGTCAAGGATGAAATCAGAGCCAGTTTGTTAACTTAATGTTCCTAAGGCTTAAGAGCTTCAAATAATGAAGGCATGATATATAAATTTTCACATTGGCCCATTAACCAAACATTCAGACAGCACTTTGGAGAACTCATGTGCTGGACAGCATGGGATGAACACAGATTTTGACCCTGGCACACCTCTTCTTTGTTGTTTTGGCAGTCTTTCTCTGCATACATTTTGATGTCATCATCTCTCAGCCTTCTGGGGATCTGCCATCATTGTTTTCATGTTCTGTTATACTAACTCTATTCTCAGACTATAGATATATCAAAAATGGCACATTTCTCTGCGTAAGGGGTAATATGTTAGAAAAACCACCAGCACTCTTTCAGTAAATGAAGGAAGGCTTCTTACAGGAGGGGAAGAGATTGATGAGTTCATGGTGAAGGCAGGAGGAAGCTACCGGGTCAAGAATGGGATAAAGCAGTTGATTCAATTATCAACCAACTCAGGCACAGGAAAGGATACAAATAAGGTGCAAGGGAAGGAGCCAGCCTCATGCAAATGTAAAATCAATTTTGGAAATATGAGAACACACATGAAACAGGGAAGGATTACAAGGCAGCAAATAACTGAGTGCTAAATAAATGACTTCTTGTTGTTGTTGTTGTTTTTTTTTTGAGACAGAGTCTTGCTCTGTCAGCTAGGCTGGAGTGCAGTGGTGCAACCTCGGCTCACTGCAACCCCCACCTCCTGGGTTCGAGTGATTCTCCGGCCTCAGTCTCCTGAGTAGCTGGGACTACAGGCATGTGCCAAAACGCCCAGCTAATTTTTGTATTTTTAGTAGTGATGGGGTTTCACCATATTAGTCAGGCTGGTCATGAACTCCTGACCTCGTTAGCTGCCTGCCTTGGCCTCCAAAAGTGCTGGGATTACAGGTGCAAGCCACCACGCCTGGCCAATGACTTATGTTTTTAGAGAGCTTTATACTGCACACAATCTTCTTTAGTATACACATTATTTTCTTCACAATAATTCTTTGAAATAGGGAGCAGTTAACTCAGCCAAGATCACAGAATTAGTGAATGGAACAATGAAGAATAGAGTTTTGAACTTTCGACTTCATAACCAAAGTTATTTCAACTTCATGAAACTGTTTCTGTGTAATAGGTAAATAAGTTTATTTAGAAGGAAACATGGTAGGTGAGGAGATGGCTGTAGTACTCTGGTGGAGAGGTCATACGGTTTGGCTGTGTCCCCACCCAAATCTCACCTTGAATTGTAATAATCCCCACATGTGAAGGGTGGGGCCGGATGGAGATAACTAGATCATGGGGGTGGTTTCCCCTATACTGTTCTCGTGGTAGTGAATAAGTCTCACAAGACCTGATGGTTTTGTAAATGGGAGTTCTCCTGCACAAGCTTTTGCCTGCTGCCACGTAAGACATGACTTTGCTCCTCATTCACCCTCCACCATGACTGTGAGGACTCCTTAGCCATGTGGAACCGTGAGTCCATTAAATCTCTTTCCTTTGTAAATTACCCAGCCTCAGGTATGTCTTTATTAGCAGTGTGAGAACAGACTAATACAAGGGGTTTCATTCATCAGGAGGCATTTTGTTTTATAAGAGATCACTGTATAAGCGCCCAAAAAGGAGAGGGCATGGAGAACACCACCAAAAGGCTTGTCTGTGTGTACTGAAGTTATCTGGAAGGGGCCACAGGAAGTCTGCAGAACAGCAGGTCCAGATGATAGATAAAGAGTCTTAGTGAGGGCAGCCTTGGCCAGCACGATGGAAGGAAGGGGTGGGTGCTAAAGATGCTTTGTAGACCACGCTGGCGATGGAGATAAAGGATGACGTTTACCTGAAAATGACCTTGACAGTGTGTGGGTCATATTGCCCACTAGGATGGGAAGGCATTGAAGGTTCAAACATGAGAAGATGAACATTTTGGTCTTCATGACTAATTTGAAATAGCATTGAGACCCTACATTTGAAACGTCTTGTGGACAGAATGTTGCTGCGTTGGGCTGGTGGTGGGTGGGAGGGGCACACACTCAGAGGTTAAGGAACGAGGTTAGGGTATGCTTCAGAGCTACCTGGGCTGTCTTTGCTACTTTTATCTTTGTCTTGAGGTTCTAGCAAGACTGGCATCATCAGCAGGTCTTTTCTGGCATGTCTAGGTTTTTCCCACCCACTGGATATTTGTGTGTCAAATTATTTGTCAGTAGACATATTTGTTTCTATTTTCTCAGTTGTTTCATTCTGCTACTTCCTGACTTTATTTTTAACCCCTCTGGGTTCTTTTCTAATTATTTTTGGCTCTGGTGCTCTGAATTCCTCCTGGTTTAATGTCACTGTGATGTGAACTCTACAGGTAAACAAGCTGAATTGATGTGCTTGGAGTACCAAGTCATTCATCCCTTTTCCCTTCTTTGTCTTACTT